ACTGTTAACATTCTTCACCTGAGTTACTGAAAAATTTTTATCTTGCCATAACCATGAATGCCAAGACTGAAGATACAGCCTTTTATTTTGGCCCTTTTAAGTGTAAAAGTAAAATTAATGGCCAACTTATAATAATTTATAAAAGTATATGACATATTCTTAAGTGTTAATCTTAAGCTATAGGATTGATACCATACCCATCTTATCTTCACCTGGAATCTGTCACTTGGAATCTTTTGTATTATATACATATAAAATATATATACATATAAAATATATCTTTTTTAAATTATTTTATTTTATTTTTTTAATAATAAATTTATTTTTTATTGGTGTTCAATTTGCCAACATACAGAATAACACCCAGTGCTCATCCCATCAAGTGTCCCCCTCAGTGCTCGTCACCCATTCACCCCCACTCCCCGCCCTCCTCCCCTTCCACCACCCCTAGTTCTTTTCCCAGAGTTAGGAGTCTTCATGTTCTGTCTCCCTTTCTGATATTTCCTACCCATTTCTTCTCCCTTCCCTTCTATTCCCTTTCACTATTTAAAATATATATGTATCTATCTATTATCTATTTATCATCTATCTATCTATCTATTTATCATCTATCTATCATCTATATCAAGCTGTTTCTAATGCAAGGAAGAAAAGGGAAGGGGAAAGTAGGCATACAGAGGAAGGAAGGAGAAAAGGAAGGAAAAAACCCAAAATATATGTGAGTGTGTGTATGTGTAGCGCACATTTAGGAGAATATCATAAAGAACTACATGGTAACTCATAAGTAGGGCTTATGACATAAGCTGAACAAGCTGAAGCTGCGATAATTTTTTGAGCTTATACACTTATTTGGTAGCACAGATTCCTCTCAGCTGGGTCTGTGTACAGTGGGCCCTAGTAGATATGATTAGTTCATATAGCTACATCCTTCCTTTTTTATCTCTTCTGTAACCCCAGGACCTAACATTGTGTTCAGTGTGTGTTTCTCACGGAAGAAATATTTATTAAATTCATGGATGAAATGGTTTGTTTATATCTTATGAATATGCCTTAAATCCTAGATCCTAAATCTATATTCTAACTGTTGTGTAAGCTTCTCAAACACATTATTTATTATATATCTGTTTTTCTTTGCATGGTTCATGTAAGATGAATAGGTGCAATAATTCTGTAAACTGCAATTCTAATTAAAGCTTTACTATCAAACTTTGCATGAGCTTCTGAACTTGGAAGAAGGGTTATAGAAAGGACAAGGCCTAGTGCCCTGTGATTCTTGATCACAGACTTTCCTCGCCAGCCATTACTTATCTATTTGTCTACGTGCTGTTTTATGGGTTCAGAAAGAGGTTTATTTCAGTTCATGACTTGAACTTGAAAGTCCTTATATTAAGACTTTAATTTTTACTCATTTTCCCCTTAAAATTAAAAAAGAATATATCAACATGTACTTTTTATTGTGCCAACAAAATAATCAAAGCTCCATCCATAAAAGTTCTTGTTTTTTTTTATCTTTGATAGATACAATGTGTAATCTATTAAAATAATGTAATAAGCACTCAGAGTATGTTCTCCAGTGAGTACTTCCAAAGAGACTAACTGCTTTTTATTCACAATGAGATAAAAACAACCAGCTGTATTGTCATTAAGATTATTTTGCACAGAGCAGCCCAGGTGGCTCAGTGGTTTAGCACCGCCTTCAGCCCAGGGTGTGATCCTGGAGACCTGGGATGGAGTCCCAGGTCCGGCTCCCTGCATGGAGCCTGCTTCTCCCTCTGCCTGTGTCTCTGCCTCTCTCTCTCTCTCTCTCTGTGTCTCTCATGAATAAATAAATAAAATCTTAAATTAAAAAAAGATTATTTTGCACAATTGCCATCTGCACTCCAACCAAGAATTGTTTTCACATAAATCATTCACATAAATCAAGAATTGTTTTCACATAAATTACAGATCAATCAGAATCTTGCCTGACACAAGGACCACTTTTACACTATAGGTAATTCACTATTTTTTTCCCTTGGAGGAAAGGCTTAAATGAGAAAAGTATACTCTCCATGAAAGGACAGTCTCCTTTTCAGTATATCTTTATATGTCTTATGAAAGAAAGAAATGATGTATTCACAATTGAAAAAAATCACTTATCTTTGTACTGCTGGTGCTATGCTTCCTAGTAAATAATGACACAGAAAGTTTCATGAGAAAATGGTGAATTGTACCTGTATTAACAACTGATACACAACAAAGCAATTACAACTTAGTGTTTTCTTTTAGGTCATTGTGATCTCAAAACACAGTTGGGTCATAATTATTCTATGATTTTCTTTTTTTTAAGATTTTATTTATTCATGAGAGAAGGGGGTGGGGGGAGGGCAGAGACACAGGCAGAGGGAGAAGCAGGTTCCATGCAGGGAGCCTGATGTGGGACTTGATACCGGGTCTCCAGGATCACGCCCTGGGCTGAAGGCGGCGTGAAACCCCTGAGCCACCTGTGTTGCCCCTATGATTTTCTTTCTTTTTCATGTCTAGGCCATGCCTATACTTCAGTTTCTCATATATAGAAATTAATTCAGGACCATTCTTTATTAAAATATTCTTTTTACTATAATAGGTTGATTTGAAATGTCATAATAAACATACCATAAACTTGTAGTAAATGGAATAGAAATTACATATATACTTTTCAGGAAGCATTTAGGAGATTCAGTTATAAACATTGATATCCAAATAGCCTTTCAGAGTTTATAAATTCAGTGAGGATGAGAAAAGGAAAGTGAAACCATAATCCCTGAAGAGATATTAATGCAACCACTGCCTCACCATGTGGCTTCTGCTTCTAGGAGGATAGTCAAAGGAAGTCAAATTAGACATCTTACAATGCTTGTTTTCATATTAAGATCTTTTATTGGATGGGGATCCCTGGGTGGCACAGCGATTTGGCACCTGCCTTTGGCCCAGGGCGCGATCCTGGAGACCCGGGATCGAATCCCACGTCGGGCTCCCAGTGCATGGAGCCTGCTTCTCCCTCTGCCTGTGTCTCTGCCTCTCTCTCTCTCTCTGTGACTATCATAAATAAATTAAAAAAATTAAAAAAAAGATCTTTTATTGGGAAAAAATAAGAGCTTTTATTGGGAAAAAAGGCAGCTTCTATCCCTAAGAATCAATACATAGGAATTTAAGCCATGAGTCACTCATATTTGAAAATGAGTAAACTTGATTTTTATCAGAAGTTAGTGTATATGTTCTTTTTTAATTTTTTTAATAAATTAATTTTTATTGGTGTTCAATTTACCAACATACAGAATAACACCCAGTGCTCATCCCGTCAAGTGTCCCCCCAGTGCCCCTCACCCAGTCACCCCCCCCCCGCCCTCCTCCCCCTCCACCACCCCTAGTTCATTTCCCAGAGTTAGGAGTCTTTATGTTCTGTCTCCCTTTCTGATATTTCCCACACATTTCTTCTCCCTTCCCTTATATTCCCTTTCACTATTATTCATATTCCCCAAATGAATGAGAACATACACTGTTTGTCCTCCGATTGACTTACTTCACTCAGCGTATATGTTCTTAAACTACCAAAAAGAAGAAAAGAAGTTGAAATAAGACAATTCTTTCTTATCTATCTAGCTTGTGAGATGTTTAACTATTTACAATGAAGCATAGAATTATATGTGAAAGTCTAAACACTTTCATCAATAGTGAACAGTTCTCTATTCATTTGACATTATGCTTTCACTTTTAGTAGTTCTTCATGATTTTGAATGTATTTAAGAGGATTTGATTGTACATTGCAGCAAATCAGTAAATTCTTGTGCACACCTCAAAAAAAAGTATAGAATCCCTCTCCAGATATTAAAGTTAGTGATTCATCTCCTTTATATAATTTCAATGTGCTTTCTTGACTGCTTACTCTCTTCATTTGTTAGATTACTAAACATTATATTTATGGTCTACATTGTATTACTGTGAAACAGACTATTTTAATGTGAAGTAATGAGAAGTTTCAAAAAAACCTCTTTTATAGTTGGTGAGTAATGGAGGGAAAGGCAGAGCGTTTTCAAGGTGTATTTTTCACCATGGGAACATGATTTCACAAACTAAGGATTATTTATAAAAATAGTGAACTTCTACGATTTCTAGGAAACTATTCTAAAAATCATATCTTTGATCAACTTAGCCCAAGAAGGGGGAAGGGCCATATATACTGAGCTGTGAATAGATTAATAAACATAATAGAAATACAAATAAAACACTTAGTTTTTTATGCAACTTTATTTTTAAGAATGTATTTTCTAATTGCGTAAATGCAACATTATTTAAGAGAAGACAGTTGAACCTCAATCAATGCTATGATCCTTCATCCATATAGTTGAGTATTTTGATCACTACAATATTCCCAGAGTAATCAAAATGGATGAGTAAATTGATTTGTACAAGCCATTCCAGGCTTCTATAAAATTAAAATAACATGATTTTTTGCTCACATTTATATAAAAAGAATACTTCATTTCCTCATTATATTCTACTAGAGCACACAAGTCTCTCTAATTTGGAAAATTCATGCTTGGTTTTACACACCATTCCTAGCATGACATAATGAGGCACTAGATTGGACACCAGGTGCCTCTAACCACTTTTATTTATCTTCTCACTATGCATGAATTTGTTTTATCAATAGTAAAAAAAAATCAGTATGTTGGAAATATTATAAAGAAATAAAAGGACAATTTAATGTATTATAAAAGTATTGTCTATTTTCTTCTTATACTGGCAACTTATATGAACTATAAATAGAAGCAAAGAGTGTGTAGTGCATGTAATTTGAAAACTGTGGTGTTTAAAATTATATGGTATGGATTTATTTTTGAGGCTCTCATGTCAATGCCTAATAAACTAAAACTTTTTCTGCATAATGAGATCAAAGTAGGTATAAGTTATAAAAGTATTAATTCTTTAAGCTTTTTTTTTTCTTCCCCTTGCATCTAAATGCTGTGTTGTATTGACAGATCTGGGAAATTTTAGTGGACGGACAAGAAGTGCAGTCTCTGTGAGGGAAGGCCAGGGGGTTGTTTTGATCTGCTCTCCTCCGCCTCATTCACCAGGTACAGTAGGATCCCGTTCTATATTGCTGCTGCTCTCTTTGTACTATATGCTCATTCTTTTAAACAGTGTATACATTCGAGGTGAAATATGCATGGGTTTTTGAAATGTGTCAGGGCACTAGTTGAGTAATTAAAGATCATCTATTCTAACTACCACTGGACAGAAGACTGCACTCCTGTGATAAGATCCTGGTATTGCCTTTCTAACTGTTGACTGTTGTGGTTATGTCTCTGCCTGCCACCAGTGAGGAATATGTTGCTCGGAGCGCAAGGAATGTGATAAATGAAAGACTAAAACTTCTCGAAATTTTTTGAAGTGTCAGAGTTGAGGTTACTGAATAACAAAGTGCATCTTGTTTCTGAAGATAAGCTTGAAACTGGGTTGTTTATGGTGTTGTTTCTCAGACTGGAACAAAATATACTAAGAAATAGTTTTTTTGAGTTTCAAACAAAAATATAATTTACTTATTACTTTTTTGGCCACTTGAGCTCTTATCTATAATAATCATAGTCATACTTCATGGATTTGGAGGAACAGAATAATAAGCTGTGCTCAGATTAATTATATTCCCTTTTCCCAACTCAGCTAATTATACTTCTTTTTTTTTTTAGTTCTATAATTTGAGATGAGTACCTCTTTGTATCATAGAATAGTTTTCCTATACTACAATTTAAGAAGGGCCAGTACCAGAGAGAGAGAGAGAGAGAGAGAGAGAGAGAGAGAGAGAGAGAATCAAATGTCTGAGAAATAACAAAGACCTCAGCATTAACAGGAAATAGAATTCAGGGTCTTGGCATCTCAATCAATTTTTCTTCTTTGTTTAGTGTGAGAATCATTTGTTTCTAGGTTATAATTATCAGTGTAGTAATGGGGCCCAATTTTGTTCTGCCATAGATAATTCTTATAAAAAATTATCATAGGACCTCAACCAATTTTTTAAAAATTTCTCAACTTTATCTGATTCCTTTCTAATTTTTTTTAACTGAAAGAAAAGTAAATTATGTTTCAACAAGAAAATATTTTTAAAAAACATTTTGCTTTGAAACTCAAATAATAATTACTATCAGTAATAATTCTGAGTTTTACTCACCTAACTTTTATATGTCAATTTAGTCATTCCAATCCTTTGTGAGTTGTTTGGGGACTTTAAAGTAAACATATTTAGTCTTACGTGCTTGTGGTTTTAGATTTAGATTATTTCAAGGCAACATGTGTTTTAACTTTTTATCGATGGATAAGACAAAACATTTTAGTAGGTTCGAGAGAATCCTGTAGCATCCGTAAATATTATGTCTGATGTTGGGTTATTATATTTGGTTTAAGGACTAATATTAGATGAATAATTGCTAGAGATTTAAAAAAAAAGAAGGAAGAGGAGGAGGCCAGAGGAACCTGCTCTACAAAGGATGAAAGTGTTCACCATCAGATTCAAAGTAGTTAACATGCAAGCAAAATTTTTTGAAACATAATCCATACTGAAAGGCAGTTAGGACATGTGTAGAAAAGGGAAATGTGATAGAATGATACAGGAAGCAAAACTAAAGATGACATAAAGACAAATCATCTGATTGCCAAAGAAAACTATAGAGAAGATTTCTTTTTTCTTTTTTTATAGAGAAGATTTCTAATGGGGAAGAATAGCATAATGAATTGCACACATGATAAGCAAGAAATAAGAATATGTATTAATAACTGATGAAATAAAAATACTATAAAATGTGAGATCAGTAAGAATAATGCCAGATAGTTGCTATTGTATATATGTTTTAAGAAATATTAGGCTGGGGCACTTGGCTGGCTCAGTTGGTGGAATGTGTGACTCTTAACCTTGGGATCTTGAGTTTGAGCCCCACAAACCTGGGTACAGAGATTACTTAAGAAATTTTTAAAAATTTAAAAAAGAAATATTAGAGTGATTGTAAAAGTTAATAGGAGAGGTTGTATACTACTAGGTACTCATTTCGGAGTTTTATATCAAATGATCCACTCAAACATCAGTGTTAGCCCCAGAGTTTTAAGGGATATGTACAGAGCCCAAAATAACAGAAGTAACTCAGCATTCAGACCAATGTCTAACACTTATCAGATGGATAGTTTTCTCCCTATCAGCCAAATCCTATGTATCTTTATGTCCTTTGTTGAACATCCTTTTCCTTTCTTGCTCCAACTGAAACTTGCATATCCCCTGAAGACATGGCTTCCCTGCAGCCCTTTAAAATTACGGCTATTTATTATCTCAAACTGTATGTGCCATTCAGATAACCTTGGAACAGATATCCCCCTTTCTCCACATTACCTATTCTCCCTTCTTTCTCCTCACAGTCCCTTAACCTGTTCACTATAGTTCATCCTTTTTTCTGTCTACTTTAAAAAATCACTAAAATGCATCTTCACCCAGAGATGGTTTGGTCTCTTTTTTGATCATCCCAATAGCATGCAACTATACTACCCTTTCCTTCACTTGAAAACAAAACAAACCAAAGCTCTTTTGACAATGTTGTCTTTCACCTGTTACCTCATTTTTCTGCTCCTTTTCATCACAAAACTCTTCAAAAGTTTTGCCTGTTACATTTTATCTAACTCCCGTATTTCAATTCTATGTCTCTCTGTCCCTCTTTCTCTGCCTCTATGTCTCCCTTTTTAAAAAGTAGATTGATTGAAGTACAATTTATATCCCAGGAAACTCACTCATTTCAAGTATAGTTTATTGAGTTTTAGTAAATTTATGACATTGTGCTACCATTACCAAAATCTAGTGCTAGAACAGTTCCATCATTTCACAAAGGTATTCGCACCCAATTTCCCCACAATTTACTTTTTTTAAAAAAATTTATTTTAATGGAATTGAATCATACAATGTTCAGTCTGTGTGTATATATATGTGGTAAGAGAGAGTGGGTGTGTGTTTGGTTTCTTTTACTTAGTTTAATGTTTCTAAGGTTCATTCATATTGTGGCATTTATCAGTCGTTTGTCACTTTATATTGCTGAATAGTATTCCATTGTATAGATAGAGATCCTTCTGTTTATTACTCAGTTGATGGCATTTGGATTATTTTTAGTCTTCATTCCATAAAATACTTAATTGCTTATCTTTTAAACACTTACAACTGCCAAACATATATTTCCAACCAGGACTCTGGCTTGTATATCTATCTGCCTGTTTGACATTTCCAATCAGAATGGCTAATAGGCATGTCAAGCCTAACCATGTCTAAAACTGGTTATATCTTCCCCAAACCTGCTCCACCTGCAGTCTTTCCAACTCAGACAAAGGCAATTCCATCTCTTACTATTCATTAGGCCTTATGGTCAGTTTTAACTTCTCACTTTCTGACATCCCACAGATAAACCATCAGCAATTTTATTGGTCCTACTCAAAACTTTATCCAAAATTTGATCATTTCTCACACCCTCTACTGTAGCTTTCTAGAATGAACTACTATCATCTCCTACTTGGATTATTCACAACAGTATCTTAACTATTATCCCTTATTTTTTATTTCATCTTTTTTCCAATCTATTCTTTTTTAATATTTTATTTATTTATTCATGAGACACACACAGAGAGAGAGAGAGAGAGAGAGAGAGAGAGAGAGAGGCAGCACAGGCAGAGGGAGAAGCAGGCCCCATGCAGGGAGGCCGACGTGGGACTCGATCCTGGGGCTCCAGGATCATGCCCTGGGCTGAAGGCAGGCGCTAAACCGCTGAGCCATCCAGGGATCCCCCAATCTATTCATAACATAATAGCTGGAGTGATTCTTTAAAATTATGTTGTATCATGTCACCCCTGCTTTGTGCAAAACACCCCAAAATTCCCCATCTACTAAGGACTGAATTGAGTTACACCAAAATGCATATGTTGTGTGATGGTATACTGATATGGGGACTTTGGAAGGTAATTAAAATTAGATAAGGTCATGAGGCTATGGCCTTCAGGATAGAATTAGTGTCCTTATAAGCAAAGACACTAGAACTTGCTCTATCTCTCCCTTGTATATGAATATAGTACAAAGGCAGTGTGTGCGAGTCAAAAAGAGATCTCACCAGAAACCAACAATGCTGGCATCCTGAACCCAGACTTCTAGCCTCCAGTACCATGGGGAAAATAAATTTCTATTGTTCAAGCCACCTATTCTATAGCATTTTGTTATGATACCCTAAGCAAACTATTACACTGTCTCATTCAGAATCAAAGCCAAAGTCCTCAATGTCTTGAAAAACCCTCACCATGTAGTAAGAGATCTTTTTTTACTATTTACTTTTTTTCATAATGCTATTGCAAATGAACATAATTATAAAATACATAAGTAAAATGTGATTCTCATACTAATAAAGAAAAAATATGATATTTTGTATTTTTGCCAAAGGAAAAGACTGAAAGTTAAAGGATTGGAATTATTCATTGAAAGCACAATGATACTGAGAAACAGTGATTTAATTCTAATGCCTTGGTTGGTCAATTAAAAGAACTCTGAAAATGTCTCAGGAAAGTAAAGTAAAAAAATATTGCTGAAGAGGAGAGGTAAAGTGTAGACAGAATAAGCCAGGGCCATTCAATGAAAGAGGCCTAGGGCTTGAGTCCTTGCTCTGATGCCTATTATGACCTCAACAACTGTCTTCTTTTTGGTGGAATGAGATCATATATTGTGAAATGAGTCTATAACCTGGTACATACCAGGACTCTCAGACCCAAATTTCTGTCTCATCCACACAGTCATTTGGACCATCATAGCATACCTATTTAACTGATAGTTAATTCTGGTTTGTTCCTTATTCTTGTTTTACTTTCTTCTTTCAAATTATAATTAACTTATTACTTTATCAGAATTTTATTTTTTTCAAGTTTTTATTTAAATTCCAGTTAGTTAACATATAGTGTAATATTAGTTTCAGGAACAGAATTTAGTGATTCATCACTTATATACAACACCCAGTGCTCATCACAACAAATGCCCTCCTTAATCCCTATCACCCATTTAACCTATCCTCCATGCACC